TATATATACACACACACATATCCTCCAATAATGGTCTATGGTTGAAATTTTGAATTTCCAAGTATTTCAATGAGTACCCTGTAAAGGGTGTAGAAAATAAATGACTGTAGAAACACAAAGATATCAGTTTTATTTTTTGAATAATTAGTAGGTTTTGCTTTGTTCTACTCACATTTTTTTGTGTGCTGCTATTGACTGTTGTGTTTTAAGTTGAAGGAGATGGAATGTGGAAATTAAAAGAAGGAAAAGAGAAAACACGGAGACAGAACTTAACATTTCAGATCACAAACCAGTCATTAATACATAAATAACACCTCCAAAACAAAAAACAATGTGCTCGGTATTTTGCATTTTCCTCTTAAAAGCTGAGGCTAATATTTGTACATATGTTTGTTGTATTGCCAAAAATGAGTCAATAGCTCAACTACTTTATCAGCAGAATTAACATATTTGATAATAGCTTAAAGCTATAATGCCAAACATGTAGTACTAGGATTTGCAGCTTGTTTTTATTTAATAGCATTGTAAATAGATTATTTTTGTGCTGTTGGTCAAACAGTACATTTGCCAGTCTCCTAGGTGTGAAAGAAGTTTTACTATTTTCTGACTTTGTATAGAATAAATGATTATTCTGTTCATTGCAAAAATAAATTGATGGATTAATCAATATTGAAAATTAGTTGCAGACCTAGATGCTGTGCCAAATAAAAAGTTATAACACACAGTACAGATACCGCTTCCAGTATAGCTAATTCTGCTCATCCTCTGCTTGTTACCAGGAGACAAGGATAGATCTATGGGGGAAGAGCAGGAAGAGGAAATGAACATGGTTCTTCACTGTCCCCCAGTCTACCCACTGCCTGAAGAGATAAAAAAGGTAATGATTCACAAATCACAGGTGCCTTGTGGATTTTGTATTTGATGTTATATATAACACCAAGCCTCCGCTTTGACGAGAACTAGTATTAAAGCGTTGGGTTTGGATTATACTCTATATATTACCTTTTATGTTAACATGTTAATGAACAACAACAATATTGACCCAACATATGCTGTTATGAAATCTGTTACACATGTTACATCCTGATATGTTTTTCTGTTTCTCCATATGTGACAGTAATTCAGAGAATTTCAATAAGAATTAAGACAGTGATTCCTCTTTTAATCTTCCATCTGTTTTAAGGTAAAACATGCTGGAAAACATGGCAATGGTGGTTTGATGCTTGATATCGTTTTCAGTGTCAGGTGGCAATTATATGCCTTATGGTATGAATATAAATTAGCAGAGACTACTGTATCTCTTGTTTTCCCTCTTACACGGGAAGCACATACAGTAGTGTATCAACTATTTTTTTTCAAAACACTGTCCAAAAACAAGGTGGAGTGTTTTTTACCTTGTTCTTGATGTTTTTTACCTTGGTCTTGAGCAAAGTTAAATTCTAATTCATTAGAAACCCAGCTAACCTGTATTTCCACCCCACTTTTTTGCAACTTGTAAAAATGTTTCTTTTTTCCCTATATGACATTGTAATGCATCATAGTTGATCATTAATTGCCCCCAAGCCAAATCCAACTGATGTAGTGCCTCTGCTCTTTTTCTCTGAAGTTTATCAAACCATCACCACACTGCAATACCACAGTCCCTCAGACCTACCTTCCTGTCTTTCTCAGTTCTTATGTCTGTTTCTCCCTAATCATTTCTCATTGAGGCCAGTAATTGACTGTGAACAATATACCCCCTGGCATTATGTGAGGGTGACCATTACATGCCCATGTAAAAAAATCCCCCCAGCCTTCCATGAAAGTCCACCACAAACACACCGAAGCATGAACAGTACCATCTATCCATGCATCCACCATCAATCAATCCATTTGTCCAACTATTTATGCCTGCTGTGCCATGGCCAACAGACTCTAATGGGAATCCATTTTGTTTATTGATTTCTATAGTGGGCATCCATCCCTGTCTGGTGTGTTCATCCATTTGAGTGCTTCTGTTTATGATTTGTCACAAGGGACCTGATAACCAAACACAGGGTTAATGAAACATAGAAAGAGAGACAGTAACAAAAAATGAGAGAGGCAGGGAGAGATCATAGCCCATCTGGTTCATTTTCAGGATATACCGCCCTCCCTCTTTTCCTCCCTCTGTCATCCACTCAGATTCCAATAGGTCTGTAAAATAGAGGATGTTCTGGGCTTAGCCCCCCACTGAGTACTCTTCAGCACCATTTACTGGAGGAGGACTGGATGGCTGGTGGCAAGAGGAGAACAAAAAGCAACAGAAGCAGTATCTTGCCAGTGCAAAGCTGTGGGCAGCACTGTGTGCACTAGTCGGTGTGGGAAGCTAAGAGGAGGTGGTGTACTAACAGGCCCATTTAAGTGCTGTTAATCCTGGTGTGCTGTGAGAGGGCTGGCACCAGTGTTTAATGGTGGGCTGCTGAGAAGGAGAGCACTGTGGTTACACACACACAAAATACGTCCCACTGACTCACACGCTTAGGTGAAGAAACACACATATTCGCACTGAACCCTCATGCTGACAGTGTGTTTATAGTGTCTGTACACAGGGGTACAGCTACAGGGTTGTAGACACATGAAAACACGCACTTGTACTAGGCCTGCATGTTTTGTGAGCGTGATTTAGATCTCTGTGTGATCTCAGTCTCAGGTGACAATGATTCTGCTGTGTTTTAGCAGGGATATGCCTTGTATCAAACCAAGCATTTCTGCCATGGCTTGTAGGGTTTTTAACTTTAATGTTCGTTTAAAGTGAGATAGAAATGGTCAAGTAGCATCCCGTATTGACTGAATACGACAGCATTTCATTTTTCAAAACCGTCTGATCCTGTGTTATAAGGGGTGGGTGACAACTCTACTAATTGGATTGCTAGATAAAGACACTAGTATTAGCTACGTTTTTCCACTGTGTCGTAAATTGCGGAAAAGAGATATGAATACATTTTCTGTGTGTTTTTATGGAGGCTGTTGACAAGTTCAAGTTCAAAGTTCAAAGTGTTTATTTTGTCATATGCACAGTTAGGAAACGTGTTTCCCTGTACAATGAAATTCTTACAACGCTGTTCAAACAGTCTGTGTCCAGGGTGAGAGAGGCCTGCAGAAATCATCTCTGCCCGTGTACAGGTCTTCCATGGAGGTCAGGCTGGCACCCATGATTCTTTCTGCAGTCTTAACTGTCTGCTGGAGTCTGTTCCTGTCCTGTTTGATTGCTGAGCCAAACCAGACAGCGATGGAAGAGCAGAGAGCAGAGTTGATGATTCCCCTGTAGAACTATATCAGCAGCTCCTGGGACAGGAGGATGTACTTCCTGATGTGGTACAGGAAGTACATCCTCTGCTGTGCCTTCTTGGTGATGGTGTTGATATTGGACATCCACTGCAGGTCCTGGGAAATAGTGGAGCCCAGGAACTTGAAGGACTCTACTAGTGATACAGTGCTGCTGCATATGGTGGTGGTGGGGTGGGGTGGGGTGAGGTAGGGTGGAGGGGCTCCTCCTGAAGTCCACTGTCATCTCTACTGTTTTGAGCATGTTCAGCTCCAGGTCGTTGCAACCACACCAGAGGGCCAGTTGATCAACTTCCTGTCTGTAGGCTAAAACTAGACTAGACTAAAAAGAGTATGAATGTGACTAAAACTAATAAAAACTAAAATGACAGCTTCACACAAAGACTAGACTAAAACTAAAATTAAAACAGGCCGCCAAAAACAACTCTACTGTACAGGATCCTGTTTACACCTCTGTAGGCCTCCTCTCTGGCACAACAAAGCTGCTTGAGTTTTACTGTGAACCAGGGATTATTATTGTTGTATGGGCAGAAGGTCTTGGTCACACACACGTGCTCATAAAAGCTGATGTATGATGTCACAGTGTCAGTGAGTTCATCCAGGTCTGTAGCTGCATCTAGCAGCAGTAACTGTATAGACAACAGAGAGGAGCAGCATAGAGGGTTCAGGACCACAGCTCCCAGTGAGTCCAGTACAAAGACCAGTCAGGTCAACTGAAATGAATGGACCACTGCACAACGTCTCATCCAGTTCCTGTGAAGCTGAGCTGGCCTCCTCTCATCGCCACTGAGCCCAGAAGGGCCCTATCTCTTTTTATCGCTTAAGCCACTATTTTCCCTTTCTCTGTTGGTAAGGCATGTTTTCCTATTGGGATGTCGACATTTTTCAGCCATCCTTCGAACAATCTGAACAATTTACTGCACAATAAGTCTTTGTCATATTACTTTCCACATAGAGTCCCATTCAGTCCACTTTGTTTTCTACCCCCGTGAAGCTCACGCATCTTGTTGATGACGTTTCTTGGAAACCCACCTATTGGCAGGATTTTTCTCCAAGTTGTCAAAGTGACATTTTAACTTAGATGAGCTCCCAAGTTCTATGCACAGTGTTCCGGTCCAAATGTGGCTGGAGGATTAGTTGTTTTCAGTGCAGCACAGAGCAGAGCACACCACAGTGTTTTTTACATAGCTGCCGAGCACCTCATGTTCTCCATGAGGTGCTGATACTGCCTATTCACTTCTCAAGTGTCACAGTATGCGAAGAGGTCAAGCACATAGTGTAACGGGACAAGACGTTCACTTCCAAGAGAAAGGGAAGCACAAGGAAAAAGAGCCAGAAAGAAGAAGCAAGACAAACAAATAGAGAAAGTCAGAGGCAATAGGGGCAATACTCCTTAATAACTTCTCAAATGTTGTGGTCTGTGAAGAGCTCCGAAATGCAGTGTAACAGTACAAGATGTTCACTTTAGTGATAATTAGAGAATGAGTGGACAGAGAATATGGGATAGAGAAAGGGGGACATCCCACTGTGCAAGAGAAATAAGTGAAATACAGTATATTCTATTTTGTTGTCTTCTGAGACAGTCAAGGAAGAGAATAATAGATAGATAGATAGATAGATAGATAGAAATACTTTATTAATCCCAATCTGGGAAATTGCACTGGAAAGATAAAAAAAAAATGAAGACACTTTCTGCCACACGTAGAGATACACACATGCAAGCATACAAATACACTTTGCTCCCTACTTCATGCTATTAAACCATTTCTGTTTCCTTTCATAACACCATTCATATTACCAACACAACAGGAGGATATAGACATAACATTGGTCCTTAGAAAAGGACATGTTTACCTACTCCCCTCCATCTGCATGCATACACACACACTGCATGCCATGGCATGTATTCACTACTGTCTGCCTCTAGTTTAATTTATAACTGAGCCAGTGTATTTACATTATAGCGTGTTTCAGCCTGAGGCTGCCATCTCTACTCCAGTCTCAGGAACATGGTACCTTGTCCTCCTCCTTTTTCCACCTCTCTAACTCTCTCTTTCAGAGCGGAGACGCAGGATGTGTTAGAGAAGGACCTGTAGTACTGGCTAGTTTGGCGCCCTGGCTTGGTGGAAAAGTGAAAACTATAGGTAAAATTGTATGTTCAAACACTGTGCGTCTGTGTTCTTTTCAAAGTCCAATTTTAGTTTTAGACCTTGAGAAAAGACATTTCTGTAATGAGAGAGCCATGATAAATTCCAATTTCCTTATTTGATGCTCAGGTAGTTTTGGTCTTCCATCTTGAAGGATGTCCCAATGCTCTTATTCCTGCTCTGAGGAGTGAGGAGGTTGTCTGGAGGATCCATGAATGAGGATACATAAGACCATCCTAACAGAAGTCTAACACCCCTTTTTCAGAAATCAGCTGGTGATTGGACGGTTCAGATGAAAGATCACAGGATAGGATGTCTCCTCACATCCTCTCTCCCTTTGTTTTTTGCCTTGCATCTTTTGGCTGCATCTTAGGGACTAAGGCACAAGGAAAAGATAGGAGTGGGGGAAATATGGATGCAATTAAGGGAACTGGGATTTACCCTCCGGTGTTCACTTCAAAAACTTGATTTTAGGGTTAAGGTTACACAGTCTCTCCGCAGTCTGCATGAACAAAAGATTAGTAGAGCAGCAGCAGTGGCTTCACTCCTCCACTGAATTTAGATCAGTTGCTTTTAGCAGCTGCCAGAGCCTGACACACTGTAGTTATGTGCATGAAATGGAAAAAAATCAAGTTGAAGGGTAAAATACGCTTTGTGGTTACATTACATTGGCTTATGAGGCCTGTGTCAGTTGAAACAGCTCTTGTGTACTAAGCCTAGTGGTTTCATAAAATGTTATGATATGGAAAAACTTGTAAGGTTTGGGGATGGGCATGCATTTATGATGGGGAAGATGAGTTTATAGGGACCAGGTCAAGTACACAATTATGCTGCATATGTGGCAACAAGGGTCTGTGTAATGTAAATCATCATCTGCTCATGCCAGTGCATGTACAGACATACATGTGTGAACATGTTCTGCTGTTTGTGTATGTTTTGGAGTAGATCAAGTCACTTGGTGGAAAAAGAACATTATAAATTATGCACAGATACATTGGACCATACCTATGTTATGACTATGACCTTTGTGTGTGTGTGTGTGTGTGTGTGTGTGTGTGTGCGCACATTAGCCTTCTTCTGCCACTGGGGTACTGTTTTATTGTCCTGTCTTGCACTTTTAGCAAGCATTCTGCAGTCACTTGAGTAAATTGGTCTCATTCAATAGAAAATGTTCAGTCTCTTTCTTCATAAAACAGACAGAAATTTGTAAATCATCTCTTCTAAGAACAAAACAGTATTGCATTGGCAGCATGGCAGCAGAGTGGAGAAAGCTTAGATGTATTCTTTTGGAAACCTCTCAGGAGAGGTTATAAGACTGAAAGTTATAAGACTGAAGCACTTATCACAAAACAAGTCTGGTTTGGTTGATGGTGAGCTCTTTCTTTTTCTTCCACCAAAATCAGACACAAATGATGACAGCTGCATCTGATAGTAAAAACGCTGGCCTGAATCCGCGCTGAGGTCTGTTTTATATTGGCTGACATGTCTTCAATGCGCCACATTATGGTGTCATTAGATAGCGGTATGGTCTTCAACTTGTCCGCTGCTAACTGGCCTAATACCTCTCTGACTATGTCCAGGGCCGAAGGTAAGATGAGTTCCTCTGCTATGTTTTAGTTTAGTTTTGTTTTAGTTTTACTATGTTATAACCCCTCACTGCCTCACCAAGCGTAATGACATATCCAACTCCACCATGTGAATTAATAAGTGTGATGTCTGAAGTTCACTGAGGGAAATACTATTACTCTATTTTTGTGTATTGCGGTTTTAATGCTTTGTCACCCTTATGTAACTTTTTTTGTTTTAAGACTAAGTGTTCTTTCTGGCTTTTGACTTCTTACCTGACTCCAAAGAGGAGCTGCACAAGAACTCCTATATGCCTAGACTGTCTGTATATGCATAAATGGCAAATCAAAATCTTGACTTGACTTGCTATTGTATGTGGCTTCTTGGCCTTTGCTATATGTTGAGCTACGAGGTATGAGGCCCGTAGTGCCTGCTCTGATTTGGAACATAAGGACAGCAGTGTCTTCTGGGTGGTCCTCAGATCCCAAAGTAGTCTTTGAAAGTATTCGACTAGTTTGTCTTTGTACGCAGCGTGTTTTGTTTCTAAATGGTGTTTTAACTTGGACGGCTTCATACTTTCTTGTGCCAGTACTTCACTGCATATCACACATTGAGGCTTATGTCCATTTTTATCATCTATGTAAGTAAATCCATACTTAACATAGTCCAAATCATATTTTCGCTTCGCCATCTTCTTAACAATGGACCTATCTTCAGTGAGTGTACACTGCCACCCGCCAATCAAGGCTTGTCATGGCAAGGTTAGGCCTCTGCATATCACGCACGCACACATGCATTTCAAAACAAAAGCTCCATGTTAGATACTACCTAAGCATTTGAATCCACAACAATATATCACTCTCAAAAACAATTTTATTTTTTTTCACCATGTCTCTCGTGCCCCACCTGGAACATGCTCGCAACCCACCCCGTGAGAAACACTGTTTTAGACAAAAAGAAGAGAGCGGCGAAAAACCCCATCTCCCAGTGAGCTAAACTGTGCTACACATCTCTCCTTTTTCTCTGTCTGTGTCAGTCTTCCTCTCTTGTTGCCTCAGTTCTCCCCTTCTTGAAAAAACAATATAAACCAAACACCCCTTTCCCTTTTTTCCTAGTCCTTCTCCTCAATAATACTTCAGGAGGTCGCTGGAGAATGGTAGCACATACTGTATGTTGTCTGCTCTCTGTAATCAGCGTATTTCAGACTTGCTCCCTTTCTAGTTTCTTCTTCCTCCTCTTTGGCTGTTTGTCCTGTTTTGCCCTCACCTTTCCCGCCCCTTTTTCAGTCTGTTAACTCTAGGGAAGAGAGAGAGCTGGGGGGGATGGTGTTCATCGCGTGAATGCTGATCTACAGTAATGACTGAGACAGCGGAGGGATTATTGTGCAGTATTGTCACAGGCGTTGTCTGGGGCTGGGTAACACAGAGTGACAATATTACATTGTAATCCACAGGTCATTGTAAGGTTACTGCTGCTTTTTATATAACAGATGCCATGCCAGCCACTGTGGAAACTGTTACAGAAGAATACTTAAGAAACGTCCCTTGTTTTATAAATGTCAGGTTTAAATCAGGGAACAGAGATTCTCTGTTTTATTCATTCATAAGTGTCTGATGCTTCTTTACATAATGTACTTGGAAGTTAGACACTGAAGCCGACAGCACTTGTTTTCTCTTGCTCAAGATTAAATGGGGTTGTATTTTGCTTCGCTGCATTGACTGTCAGGCAGAACGTCATTCCATCTCGTTTAAACTGAAATTGAAGAATCCAAAAGCAGTATAAATGTTAAGAAGGTTCATCGACAAATTGCACAGCAGCAGAAAAACTGAACTTGCACATGCACAGATAGTCAGCATGTGGGTAACCAGTGTTACCTCCTCTGGCCTCTCCTGGCTCACTGTGTTGTGCCATGTTGTGCTGATCCCTGTGTTGTGAAGCATAATCTGTTAGGGCTAACGGAAGCACGTGTTGTCTGATTAATGTAACAGACTACAGTATATGCCCCCTTTTGTGTCTGGATCTTTTTTTTTTCCACTGGCTGCCCTGCCTTCACTGCTTACATCTGCACTTGGTCTTTGTTTCAAACCTGAGCCCTGTGAAACATAGAGCCCCTTTTCCACTGCCTGGTACTGGCTCAACTCAAAACATCAGCTAAATTCTCAGGTCAGTTCAAGACTTTAGTAATATGTAAATTGGTTGATAAGAGGTATCTGTAGCATTGAATCAAGAGTGATCAACAATGTAAACAGGAAGTCACTGCAAGCTGTAATATAATTGCAGAAATTAACAGTTGTAGGGGTCAAATGATTTAGTAAACTTAAGTTATGTTTATATGAACACAGAAACTGGCTATATATTGGTTAATGGTCAGTTGTCAGTTGGTTCAGTTAGCCATGCAGCAGTTTCATGTGGCTTTTACAGGATATAACTAATTCCTATGCAAGAACTAGATTGTGTGGTGCAACCTTTTTAATTTAATGATGTGTAAATGTCCACCTTGTAAATATTTAACTAGGCTAAGATTGACCTTGCAAACATATGGTGCTTCTGGCTCTGGGTCACCTATACTGAACCATAGGTGTAGAAGTAATAGTGTGCATGTTATTTTCTGTGTTGCTCTTGGTGGATTAATGAGACTTTTCAGTGCCCCCGATTTGGAATTTACCTACTGTAGCAGCAATCACCAGCTAGATCTTGAAAAGAGCTTAATTATCTTTAGGAAAAAAACATTAATAGAATGATTGTTTGACTTCCACACATCCAGAACGTCCAGAATAACCAGGGGCTCGTTTCAAGAAGGAGGTTTAACAAACTCAGAGTTCAAACCTGAACTCTGAGTTGACTTACACAGAGTTGGAAAACTTGGAATTTTCGGTTTCAGAACAGCTGAAAAGAGTTGGTTTAATCAACTCTGAGTAGGTTTACTCAGAGTTAGGCGTGTGCAGCGTGACTATAAAAAGCCCTGGACAATGGAGTGAAGATGTTACGAGTCACCATGGCAACAGGACCAAGCAAAAATAGGTCTGCGTTTTTTCCCCAACAGAAATGGATGTGCTACTACAAGCATATAGTGACTACGAGCCCATATTTCGTAAAAAAAAAAAGCAACACTGCTGCAGCTGCGAAAGAGAGAGAGTTAGCTTGGGGGAAAATAGCTGCCCGAGTCAATGCGTACGTTTACATTTTAATCATACAGT